TGACAATGATGATGGCTCGAATGGAACGTTAGCACGAAGCCGCGATTCACAATTTTGGGAATTTGGGAAACCGGATAATCGAAACGCGTTCCTCGAACACCAGCACGATTATGCTTCCTACCCTTCGATCCAGAACAATGACAAGCGAAATGCACGTTTCATCGATCACCATCCCCTATGTTTAGAGGATGACTTATCGGCCCGACATTTAATTTCAATTTTCAATCCCTCTTTTTACACAGTTATAATCGTATTTCTGTTCTCACCCTTTGTCCGAATTAATCCATATCGTCTGAATTATAAAAATATTCTTCTCTATAACACCATTTTTTAAATATCGACGAGAGATTGGTGAATTGTTCACGAAAATCAATTACAACAATATTCCTTTACTATCCATTTTTTTATAAAGAAAACAACAACCAAACCTTTTGTTATATACATTGTTGCCTCAATATCTTTATTTATGCCTCGATTTACACTTTTCCAAGTCATTTTTATACCCGTTCACCACTTCACCAAGATTCGTATCTAGCAGAAATTAAAATTTAATGAAAATTGTACATAATAATACTCTTTATCGACATGTTTTAATTTATTTTCATAATTCATTATCCTCGATAAAGCGAAAAGTGTCACGAATAACTTGTTCCGTTATATATATCTTCACGTTGGACAGAACGAGCAGTTTCACTTGAAGACACAGGATCGATCGACGTCTTTTTTTTTATTTCATTTTTTTTCGAAAAATTTTCCATCGACGATGGAGCACAAAGGGTAGAACGTTTTCCGGCGAAACGCGACGCGACGCGACGCGACACGACACGTTTTCTCGTTCGCTCGATTCCCTTCGAGTTTCCGTTACGAGAGTCCATAAGTCTTCCCTTCCCTGACAGAGAAGTATCGCTCGTGCCCATGGGAATGGTGTTTTCGCCCCCTCGGTGAAACCGATTCTCGGGATAAAAATTTATGACAATCAGGGCTGCCGTGGTGAAAATTTAATTCGGCCACGATAAACGAACGAAGGAAGGGGTTGTTTATTTCGGAGTCGCGTTTCTTCGATGACCAGCCACGATAAGATTATCGGGTTTTGCCTCGCGATAAAAACGAATCGATCGTGCTTTTGAACGTCTATTTTTCTTCTCCCCTCCTCCCCTTTTTTTTTCCTTCTTTTTTTCCTTATTCCTCTTCCAAGTTTTCAAGCACGGGTACAATGCTATTTTGATTATCCAAACTAGCGGGTGAAATTGTGTTTATACGTTCGTATGAATAATTTAACGGGTTATCGTATTTTTCCGAGATGAGGGAAAAGTAAGTCGTCCCTGTAAAGAGATAAATTTCAAGGAAGAACTTAGAATGTGACGTAGTTAGAGAAATATATATTTAGAACATTTATTTTCCAATATTGTTCGAAAAATGAAAATCCAATTTTATTCACGTAGGAGGTGGGAAAACAAAGGAGGAAGTTTATAGAAGAAGGTAGAACAAAAAGACGATGTGGAATGAAATTGATAGATATCCGGCGAAAGATTATAAGCCTATATAAATAAAGATTACGGTTGGAAGAAATTATCTACGCGTTCCGTATATATAATAACTTCGTTCGCCTGATTTATCTTCTTAAAAAAAGAAAAAAAAAAAATAGAAAAAAATTACTTTTTTACGATTAAATTACGAAAGCTCGTTCGACGTCGATGGAAATTTGTACACGTTGATATTTTTTTTTACGAATGAAAACGCGGATGAAAATTTCTGATTTTACATTACCGACCGAGATTAAAAAGTTTCGAGTCATTAACGTATATTCCGTAAAAGCGAAGAGTTGAAAAGAGTCGGGGTAGAAAAATCGCTAGACGTAGACTAGAAAAGTTTTCCAAATTTTTGTCCGCTACATTTACACAATTCATTAGAATAAAACTAATTTTAAGATCTCTAAATTTCTATCTTTCGATTGCCAACTATCGATTGCCAACTTTCTATTTTCATTCGATAACTTTTCACGATCCACACCGTGAAAATTCATTATCTTAAAATTTGGAAGGTGATAATCGTAAAATTTTTTTATGAGCATTCCACCGTTGAGCCTCGTTTCGAAACTGTCGTAAAACCCGAAGGGAACCCCTCGAAACTTGGCAACCTGTAAAACTTTCACTCGCGCGTTCCCCGCGTGTCCCCTGGGAGCAGCACTTAATTTCGGCACTGGAATGGATTCAGTGAATTCCGCCTACTCGGTTAACTCGGCGCTTTATAACGTACGTTTTATCAAATTGCTTTCGAAAGATTCCATTCCGGATCGACTCGATAAGAAAAATTAATTTCGCTACACAATTTCGTTTTCACTTTAATCCCTCGCCCCGGATCGTGAATCAATGCCAGTCAACGTTTCGTTTAGCGTAGGTTTCTCTCTCGTTCAACAAGTTCATTTCTCTCTCTTTCAGATTTTTCTCCTAGATCTTACCTTCATCTTCTTACCTTCCTCTTCGTCTCGTTTCTTTAAAGAGGGAGATTCCTCCACTCTCTTTCCCTGTCCTTTTTCACCTCTGAAAAAATCACCATTTATAAATCTCCATATCTGTCCTCTCCTCCTCCACTTCTCGCTTAATAAACGCTTCTCTGTTCCTCTCGATCTTCCATACAATTTATTCGCTCCAGGTGAGCGCCAATCTATCCCTTTGCTCGCGAGACTGGATCAACAACAACTTTATTTCTTCGCGAGGAGACGTGAAAAATCTTGCTCTCAGCAATATGCACATACGTTCCAACGAAAGTATCTTCTATCTTCTATATTCTATCGGTTAAAAGAATTTGCCGAATTCACTTTTTCGTGGTTGAAGCGTTCTATTTTCGACTCGATCAAATTTTTGATTGTTTCTCGCGACGAAGAGGTCGATGGATCGTAAATGAATCGTAAAGAAAAATCGTTTGTCCCTTTTCACGGTTTTCATTTCACATAGTTTAATTGGATCTCGAATGCGGAACCGCAGTTTGAATTATCGGTCGTCCCTGACTTTCGTTACGACTACGAACGATGACATTTTTTCCTGATCGAAGCGTGGCAAGGCAAAGGTTAAGGGTGAGTATTAAACGAGTATCATTTGACGAAATCATTGCAGCATCGCGATGATCCAACGATCGATCGTCAAGTTTAAACTGGAAGAAGAAGAAGAAGAAGAAAAAAGAATTTGAGAAAATGAACGGAATCGTTAAACGAATTTTCAACAATATTTCCTCCTTTTGTCTTTTGCTCTTTAAATCATTCGAGTAACGAGCCGCAATCACGTTGCTATTCTGCGGCGCGACAATGGGGAAGGATAAGAGAGATTGAACGAACCCAGAGAACAATATCTTAGAAATTTTATTATACAAAGATAACCGAAAGTTCACAATGAAGTGTGGGATCGCGAGACGTGACAATGATGTAGAGGCTTAAACAGGCATTTAAAAGAGGATCAGGGGGATGGAGGACCTTCATAGAGGATCCTTGAGGAAGGGAGAAAAGGATGGGGCGAGTCGTTATTTGGCGGTGAACCACGCCGATTGGAGGAGAGCCAGAGCTCGCGTTCCTTCCTTTTCCTCTTCTTCTTCTTCTTCTTTTTTTTCTTTTTTTCTTTTTTTTTTTTCATTATCGCTCTTAGCAACTCAAGAAGGGAACGGTTATTTTTGAAACCCGTCGTCCCATCCACACTTTGACCCCGTCGATCGGTCATTCCATGACTCGACTCGACGTATCTTTCCTCCATTATTCTCCAAAAATATTCCTCGAACGTTCACCTTTCCGTGACGCAACTTCTTCCTTCCCAACTCCTCCATGCGCATCAACATGCGGAACGCGCGAGCAGAGTTTCCACCCGCTTTCTAACCGCATTTCCCTTTGAATCAGAAGCAGCTGACAGGAACCAAACCACGCGTTTCCACACTCTCGGCTATTCCAGTCTCGAATCCTCGAAAACTCGAAGCGTTCGAGCGGCAGATTTTCAGATCAGCAAGGCGCTCGAGTCGACTCTATCGCGTCTCGACTCTCCCCTGTGCGATTTCGATGCCAAAAAAAAAAAAAAAAAAAAAAAAAA